AACAATCCACTGAATAGCCAAAATACCACATTGTTTAATTCCATTAATTCAGCATGACGTGTATATTATTAATACACAGTAGTCACACATCACAATTTCAATATAATATCAAAAAATATTGCCTAGCACTATGTTGAAAATAGTAAACATTAGCATGTATTGAGAACATAGCACACTGACGTTAGCATTTAGCCCAAAGCAGCACTGTGCCACTGAGACTCTTGCAATCAGTCCAGTAACTCAAGCACATAAAGTTTCTTGCTCCATCTTAGGCAAATACTGTAGTCCCAGTGGGTCCTTAGCTAGATATGATAAATGTCATTGATTTTGTAACTTCCCATATGGAAAAGATTTGCCCTCATTTTCATTTTTGTCCTGTAAAAGTTCTCAAGATCTCCCCATGCGGACCACAATGCCAGATTATATGGAAATACAATTATTCAACGGTATGTTCAAAGTTAGGAAATAATGAATGCATTGGTCACAGTACACTCAGCAGGAGCTTTTAAGTATTTCACAGGTGGCGAAGGAGCAAGACAATGGAAAATAATTTGATACTGAGTGGTATGCCCGCCGCCCGGCTATTAGTGCTTTATATTATGACTTAATATAGTCCCAGAGCTATAGGACTATAACATACTAGTGCCTCTCTATAGAGCTGTGGCGTTTCTTACCACTCACTAACAACTATGAGCTATGGTTTTAATTAGTACTTTGATGGACCCCTGCTGCTGAGATATGACCATGGCTACACTTAAAATTCTCATTACTGATCGCCTTTTGATTTTGAATATGGCTGTGTTGTTTTTTAAATAACCCTTACTGAGGGTTTGCGTTGCTTGGCACCACGCAGGTCTCACAAACAATGTATTTTAGCTCCAGGGTATGTTAATACACCCAACAAACTGTATAAAGCATGATGCTGCATTCTATGATGGATTTTCATGGTAATTAACTGTGTGTTCAAGTTCCTACTTCCCTTTTACTTGTACACACCTCGTTGACTTCATTATAAATATAACAAGTTTAAAGAGACAGATGAGAGGTAGTGATTTTTCAATTCAGCATTTAGTCAGTGAGACCCACCCACTGTGTCAGACTAAACAGATGCAGGAAGAAAAGATGCTATCTTCCTCTTCATGTTTGTATCTCGTGTTTCTTTCGCCCTTGTTATCCCCATCCCCATCTTTGTCTCTCCTCCACTCTGCTCGCTACACCTATCCGTTTGAGTTATCAGTTGGGCTGCTAATGACTGCCAGGCTGTCTGCTGTGATAATGGGCTAACAATATGAGATAATGAGCTAACAGTGGGCTGTTACACAACTGGGCCGTAACATACTTGGCTGAGTGCAGCGTGCTGTATTGGCTTTTGTGTAAGGGAAAGGGAAAAAAAGGTAAGCAGGAGTTAAATTGGGGATTAGGGGCTCAGAGCTAGCACATAGACTCCCAGAAATCATCACAAAAATAATTTACTTATATTTCTTTAGCGGAAGAAAAAACATTACTTGGATCAGAGTCCTTAAAATAAATGGCTGCTAAACCAATTGTATTTTTCCCCAGGTATAAAATAACTGACACTCAAGCGTTTCCTTTACTGTAACTTCATTTAATATTCAAATAAATCAATCTATACTTAATGATGTAAACCATTGCTTACATCAGGGACTCCCATAACTGTCACACTTTGATTGTTTCACAAACTAAAAGTCTCTGTTCCTGTGAATACCAAATTCAAAGTATTTTAACACTTGAATAAAACTATGGAGCAGTGAAGGACTGCACGCTGACTGCTGCACATGTTGGCACTCTGCGTCTTCTTGCAGAGTTGTATTTTTATTCCCGCTGCACATACCTCTCTTTTCTTGTGAAGCAAACAGCATTTCATTAAGATACGTGTGGCATGCTGTGCACAGACTGAAAACAAACATGCACTACTATGGGAGAAGAGTAAGCTGACTGAACTGCAATCATTTTAATGTTAACTTATTTAACAATCAATGTGATAAACGATTAGGATGTAATCATGACTCTTATTATTGTCATTTTCTAATACATTCACTAATCATACTCTCACTTATGAACACACTCTCTTAAACCTCCTATATCAAACCTTCTAAGAGACTTTAGAATTCGCTGCACGAAGAGTGCTGTCAAAACCAAAATAGATATAGAGTAATATTTTGGATTTTGTGCCAACTTCCAGCCTTTGTGAAAAAGAAACATTGAGACATTGGAGACTACAGCAATTGTGTTTTGAGTTTGATTAATACGTTTTTGTTATGTGTCTTATAATTATGTTATCTGAATATTGTGTTATCCTTCTCGGTAGCAGGAAACATGAAATACTTTTCTTTTAAATTAACAGCCTACATTTGAATAATGCAGCGTCCATAAACCATTTAATGTATTGCTTATTGCTGGGCAGTGAATTGATAAAAATGTAAATACTGATGCAATTTGTACTCTTTGTTGCAGGCAGTGGTATAAACACTTGTACTTTTCTTTAATCTAACTGATGAGGTGGATCAGAACTGTTATATTTAAATGGCTGTCAAATTGCATCTGACTCATTAGCTGTAACACACATTATCTCTATTCTCTCAGCCCTGTTTCCGTATAATCTAATAAAGCAACGATACCATGAAGTATTAGATGATGAAAATAAGGTTCCAAACCAAGCAGTGGGAGAGTGTTCGAAGTGTTCGAACATTCAGCTGAAGAATTACAGAAGCAGATAGCACGACCAGAGAGAGGCGGTCGATCTATGCAGAATATCAATGCCTTGTTGTGGCGCTTTACAGGAAATCTCTCTGGATCTGAAGCCAGCACAGAATCCACAACTATTCTACAAATCTGACTGCGGTGAATACAAAAGGTGCTCCGCTGGACTGCAGACAGACCGGTCTTATTTCAGAGTGCGGTGAGCTGACGGGAGCACGGCGGAAGATTGGCAGCAGTACAAAGAAGATAAAAGAAGTTTTAGCCCACCAGGAGGGGAACAATGTATGCAGGCCTGTGTGTATGTGCATATATATTGTATGCATGTGTGCGTTGGCTCTCCTGATTTTCAAAACGATGTGCATATTTATATTTTGCAAACACACACACACACACACTAGCTTGTGGCAGCTCATTTTGAATCTGTGTGATGGCTGGTGTGAATCAGCACAATGTTTCACTACCTCACTCTCTGCGGTCTATCACTTCGCTACGATTCTGCAGGTTGCCAAAAATCCTTATAACTCCATCGCAGGAAATACAACACATCCCTCTCTCTGTCTCCTCTGTTTCCTTGTTTGCTATGCATATGACTATTTATTTCATTACCTGTGGAAGTTGAGCTAAACAGACATGGCCTTTTCAAACTGAGTTTTCTCATCTATAGGAATCTCAAAGCATATACTGCAGCGTTATCCACTTCTCTGCTGTTGACTGTCATTTTCAGCTCATTTAAAATATTCTTCTCTTTGGCATTTGTTGGATAAATGCACCACTTATTTTTATTTATTTACAAAGGGTGGAAGGTTCTGCACATCAACAGAGAAATGGGATTACATTGCAGGAGTGCATTTTTGTAATGACTCTGGGTCACCATTGGTATCTTTTATATTTAAACTAGACTGCAGATATAGATAGAAACATATAGATACACATATATATATATACGTAGAATGTATCTAATAAATGTATATAGAAATCTGAACAATCTGTATCTTGTTGCAATAATGAGACAATTTTCAAATACTTGAAACAACATTGTATTTTTCTAGTTTAATTAGGCATCTGAGTCTTTGTTCAGCATCTGAGAGGACGGACGTGTGTGTTGTTCATTAAAGGTCCCTCTAATCAGCTTTCCACTTTTACAAAATGCCTCTCCTTTGAGCCAGAATTGATCTGGAGAGCAAAAGATTTCCAGTTTGAGGAAGAGTCCTCTAATCTAATCTATCAAAGGATGCACAGATGGGGGCGGGGAGTGATGGGATTTATTGCTGACTGCACTGCACTGATGTGGAGTACTAGACTGGATCTGGATAGAACTGCATTAGGCTCAGGTAAACAGATCTGATATCAAAAAATACATTTTGGTTAACAGACGATGCGCAAAAATAATTCATTTTGATTCCCCAAATAATATGACCATGATCCTTTTTCAGTGGCGTATGTTAACCTAGATAGGACTGATAAATAGTGTAACCTACTGAAACATTGTTCAGCTAGTTTTTTATCCATCTGCAATACAGCGATATGATGTTTATTAGACGAGTGTTTTTAAAATGTAAAATGTGTTAGCTATCAATGATACAATTGTGCAGTTTCATAAAAAAGTTAATATCTACAGATTGAGACCATTTGCAATAAACGCATACAACATTTTCCCCATTATTCCCTTCCCTGTTAGCTTTGGATAAGTAAATCTGATGACACATCAACGTCAAACTGTCTAAATGTAATAGAATAAAATGACGTCTTTAAATATGTTGTATTTACATGACCCAAATTGAAATGTGCTTTTTATTCACGCAAATTTTGGATGAAAGGTTTTAAAAAACACATTTTACAATTGGCATCTAAGAGTACAAATGGAGGTGAGCATATCGTATCGTCCACACGGTTCCGTCGCGTGCTTCAGCGGAGACGCTTCCCATTCACTTTGAATGGGGCGACGTCACGCTTTGCCGAACTGCATTGTGGTTCCGTCGCGTCGCTTTGCCTCCGTTGCTCACGCTGAAATGTTGAGAAAAACTTTTCAAGCGTCGACGGAAGCGCCAGCCAATCAAATCATACGCCAGTACAAGCGCTAGCCAATCAAACCGTGTGCTTATGTGTCCGGGGCGGGAGATTAATGTGATTGGTTGTTGGTCGCGCGCCAGACACGCCCACCGGCAAGCTTCAAAGCGACGGAACCGTGTGGACGATACGTTAGAGTAATGGTTGTTACGATTTAAAGTCTCAACGTTCACCCCTGTATTGGCCTTTACTGTACATTTCATTGATCCTACCTCCAGGATAGATGCCTCTTATCCCATTTTTTCAGAGTTGCCAGGCTTCGTTTCCTGCGGCCCACTGTCAACTCGGTGTCAGAAACATCTGGCAGGGAACATCTGGGTGTTGTCATTAGGCCCATTGTGGCTTGGTCTAAAGAGGAGAGGAAGTTATGGTTGGTAGTGTTCTGATTGGGTTACAGTCTTTCATTCACTCATCTATGAACATTTCCTTCATCCATCCACATTAGCACGTGATTGCCCCATAAAAACACATCCACATACCTAAGACTCCGGTCTCCTTCAGCCCTCCGTACTTCTGCATGGCTTTGATGGCCTTGGTCAGGGCCTCCTTGGTCTGAAGCTGACCAGTCACTGGGTCAGGGGGCGGGAGGTAGCCAAACTTACTCAGCCAGTCCTGGAAGGGGAAGAGCAGACAGAGTTCAAGAGTAATCCCAGGCATGTCAAGGACTCCAAGTATCCCAAGCTGCTGAGAAGAGACACCTGTTCATTTTTACTGTCTGTGGATACTGTTCATGTTTACTGTCTGCGGATGTGTCTATGTACATCAAGGTTGTGTGAGAGCTCGATCAAAGAAGCAATTGTACATTCGGATGATAGAAATTATTATCATTTTCAAGCCAATGTCATTCTGCATCTACAAAGATAAATGACAGTACCGAAGGTTTTTTTTTTGTGTGCGAGTGTGTACAGAAAAGACAGGAAAGAGAGCAAGTGGAACATTCATGTAGTACTTTGTGATTAAATGTTATGCATTTTAGACCACCAAGCAACAAGGAGGTCCCTATCTCTATTTGTTTCTTTTTATACCTAGTGCTTGTTCTCAATTATGCTTAAGAGCTGCACATGGTGAGGGACATTTGAGTCTCTAATTGCAAAGCACAGAGTGTTGCTGATGGAGCGTAACAGTTTCACCAACAACACAGACAATCAAGATCAAGATACAGACATCTAGTTACAATTAATTTGATCTGAATTTCATTAGGGGGAAGAAAAGTGTGTTCTGTTACGATCCATTAGCCTCAACCAATCTCTCAAACCGTCATTGAGGTATATACTACACTGAGAGTCGACTTATATCCTGTATTTTTCCCTGGCGTTATAATGATTTTGCTATTTGGAATACTCAGAGATAAACTTTTGCACAAAGTTGCATTTAAGTTTTATGCTGACAAATCAAAAATGCTGCTATAAGTTCAGTGAGAAAAAGTTAAAAAATTGCATTATGGTGTGAGCTAATGTTATCTCCCTTTATGGTATTAGAATATTTGAGGTTAAGCATAATGTTTTTTTTAGATGGCTAGGTTAGGCGGAGTTCATCAACACATATGCATTATTAACAGCTTGGTTGTTTAAGATAGGAAAAGAAGACAGTATTGGAAATGCAAAAGTGGTATCAAGACTTCTGTAAATGTTGTACAAATTCACAAGAAATATGGTCAAACAAAATGAAAAGCCCTTCATAAAGGTTTATATGCAATTCCTTTTCCATTTGAGACCACAAAAGTTGCTGCCAATCAAAGAAGTCCAGCTGACATTGACTGGTTTTGCTTCATGCAAGTTGTGACTGATGGTTGAAGTGATGCTCTTTTCTCTGTTGCCTTACCCGCCCCCCTAAGATCTTTCTTCGTCTGGTTTCTCTCTCCCTCTCATCCGTCTCGAAACAGCTAAAGCCTCCTCTTCACTCCCCATGATCTGGCAACCAATAAGGTGGTGACACAGAGCGATAGCAAGGCGTCCCCTCTGTATTGACAACGCTGGAAAAATCCCATTAAGTGAATGCTTTAGGTCCAGTGAAGGCTGATATTTGCCTCCTCATCCTTGAATTTGCTATCCCTGCACAGGGAATTTAATTTGACCCAGCGTATCATCGGGCAGGATGAGAAAATGGGAGAGGTCAAAGACTTGTAAAGAAAGCCAGGAAGTCAAATTGACTATGAATCTGCAAAGAACATTAATAATGTGGTTTACAAAAGTAAGTCAAGATTTCAAAACACATTCTATTATTTATTCCACCTTTCAAGCATGATCTTAGCTAATTCTAGTTTAGTAATCAAGTTATATTGACATGCTTTTTGGCTGATTTAGGTTAGCGTAGCAAGCATGTGGGGTAAAGAATGCTTACCTTTTAACAAAAGACAATTCTGGAAATGTCAGTATGCATTCCTTGGTCATTGAAATTGTTAATTAAATATTAAAGGTGGGGTAGGTAATTTTGGAGAAACCAGCTCGAGTGCGCTAGAATTTGAAAATACACAACCGGAAAAAACTGCCACTTCCTTACAGAGCCCCTCCTCCAACACACACGAACGCGCACATGACCAATGAGGGCACGAGATAAGTTTGTGCACGAGATGGAAAGCTGACAGGCAGGTAGGCCATCCAGTTATTTTAGCCGGGCCAGCTAAAATGATTGGTCGTGCTTTTTATAGCGCCACGGCTTCCACAGATGACATTTTTGTATGTATTTATTGTCAAAGCATTTAATGTATTCATTGCTATCGGGATGTTAAGAGCATTCCATGGAATATAACAAAAAGTGTTTCTGAAATAAATTCCATACCCCACCTTTAACTAAATGACTTTATTAAAACATTCAATTGATAATAATGTATACGGTTAAGGCAAGTTAAATTGCCAACATGTGTTGCATTAGCTCCTATCCACATTACCTGTGTGCTGATCATGTCCAAACTGCAAACAGGAAGTGGGACCTTCCAATGGGCCTTTTAGTAGAGGGAATTTGGACTATACCATGTGCAATCAATTAAGGGGGTTTCATTGTCTCAGGGTCTTTTTGAAGTTTGCAAATAACTTGGATTGTTAATATTCTTATGCGAGGACAATTATAATAATGGTGATAAATTGTTTTTTAATGTTTATACAGAATTGTTGGATTATGCAGTAGTAGCAGTAGTAGTAGTAGCAGCAGCACTTCCTGAGAAGAAGCTCCAAAAGAGTAGTTCATAGTTGGTGGTACGTTTAATTTACAGTATGATGATCTGTATGTAGTACAAAGCTAATTTAGTAACTTCAAACTACCATACGTACTTATTACCAACACTTTGAGTGCTGTCAGGCATTGCAACATTAACTTAAGCCATGAACAAAACCTTCTTTGGGGAGGAGGTTGTAGTAACCAACATTTAAAACAAATGAGACACATTGTAATAATAATAAACATTAAACGTTCTATCAACCAAAACTGTAATAATAATAAACATTAAACGTTCTATCAACCAAAACTAATTTAACAAAACGCATGTGTACTTGTGCGAATGTACATGCATCCAAAGAGAGGTTAATTTTTTTCTTTTATGTAAGAGAAGTGTGCTAGCGATGAATTACATCTGCCCTGTGTACTCCACCACAACTCCTTTTCAGACTCCTGAACCCATTACATCAAACTTTTTTGTGGAGCCAGCAACTAATTTAAACCCTGACATTGTAGCTCAAAAGCCGTCAACAAGTTCAGCGGCATGCTGAACACTGCTAAATAATATACAGGGGTGTCACTGTGTTCAGGTGTTCTTTTAAAATACTAAACACAAGTCATCTGAGTTCAAACGGAAACAAAAGAATATCAAAGCTTCCTGGATAAGGAGAAGAATAAACCTAAGCACACTTGCAGTAAAAAGCAACAATAAACCCTGACAGATAATAGAAAGGGACAGTTCAAAGATACAACCACAATTGGAAGAACGCAAATGGTTTGCATTCCTCTCAAATGTATTAAATCACAAACTATTGTTGCTGTTTCTCTTGGGGTCTTCACACTTAATATAAAAGAGAAATAAAGGAGTACATTCGGAGAGAAACACAGAATCTACAACAAATGTATCTCTCCAAGGTTCGCATTAACAATAAGGGGTCAGACACAGACAACTGACACTTTGATCGCTAATTTAGATGCACACACACTCAGTCTGCATGCACACAAACATGATGTGTGACACTGAACTGCATCCAAAATTAGGAGTCTTTTTCAAAGCCTTTGATGCTTCCATATGAACTTGTTTGACTCAACAATTGCAGCAGTGTTTTTGATAGCTGTGTTGTGTTCCAGAGTTGTGAAGCAGAACTAACAGAACATCTTAAATGGCAACGTGTAAGGTTTCGTTACTGCTTGAAGCGACAACACCCCCCCCCCCCCCCCCCTTCTCTTCTACCGCTATGTTCTTCTTACGTTTTTCTCTCTTTATGATAAATTATTCAGGATCTTGGAGTATGTGAGAGAAAGATAGAGGGAAGCAGACTTATAAATGTTACCCGTCAAAAAAATAATCAAGACTTTATAAGGTCATTTGAAGAAAACTACCGGAAAGAACATTTCTCTTTGAGTTTGATGCCTTTATTGTGTTGAGTCACACTTTAAATGTAGCTCGTCTGATATGTCTCACTGGTTGGTAGTTTTCACTGGTTTTAGACAAATGCATAACAATTGCGAAGACACTCAGTCGGGGCATAAAACCTTAGGCTAATGCACATTAAATTGAATGTGTTTTTTTCAGTTTACACTTGAAATTAGTAACTTATTTAGTGATGGAATATCTAAGGACATGATGAGCAACAATATATCTTCCTTATATACTTTGCTATGCAAGTCTAGGAGCTCCTTTTAGTACTGGGATTTCCCTAAAAACAGCAATGTAATCACAAACCATTTGTACAACCTGGCCTTAAATGTAGAAACATTAAAGAACAAAATCTTCTCCCCTCTCTTTTTGGGTTTTCTTTCTGCAGTAGAAAGTCGGAGCACTGGCTCAGCTGCAGTCCAGCAGCCCTGGAGGTATTCATTGACTTCAGCAGTGCAAAGTCTTGCTGACGTGGGGTCTTGACCCCGTGTCCCAACTCAGGCCCGGGGGGTCCCAATCACTTAGCCTACTATCTGATCAAATGACCTGCGCAGTCCTGGAATATTAACATTCAGTTTTGATTGATGTGGTCAAGCAAGACTAAATAAAAAAACAATGAAGAATATTTTTGAGTGAAAGCCATGAATACTATGCTATTCAAAGCATGACTGTGTCCAAAGGTTACGCAGATGGCCTCGCTTTTTTACATTTTAAGTTTGATCCGTACAAAACAGAAGAGGAAATGTTGACATTTTGCAGATGGGTATACACTGGACTACTTCTTGGTCCGCACCAGTACGTTTCTTAACCCCCAATGTTTTATGGGCAACTTGTCCGGCCATTTTCTTCCTTTGAGATGTACTGTTGATAAAGTTAGGGATAACAGCATTTTCAACAGCAGCACAATTCACACATTTTTTACTTAAAGGAATACCTAAAAATTATCTTTTTGTAACCTGAATAACATTTTGTTTTCCTCCTACATCTCAACATTAAACAAAGGCTCTAAAAATGGAATTCACTTTGAATAAAAGGCGAAAAA